TTCTCAGCATCTCACAAACCCTCATAACTCCAGAATCAGGGGATCTGACCTGTGGGCACCTACACACACATGCACATACATACATACATACATACATACATACATACATACAAATACATATGCATGCATGAATTTTTTTAAAAAAATCTTTAAAACACTCTCTTTTTGTATTATTTGAATTCTTTAATTACTACTCATATTTAAATATCCATCCCCCCATTCCCTCACTCTCCCATCCTCCCATGTTCCCCCCAATCCATCCCCCAACTCCTCCCCAGGGACAGTGAGGCCTTCCACCAGGGACCTTCAAAGTCTGTCATATCATTTGTGGGAGGGCCTAGGCCCTCCTTGCTGTATCTCGGCTGTAATAGTATCCCTCCATAGGGAATAGGCTCCCAAAGGCCATTTGTGGTCTAGGGTTAATGACTGGCTCCACTGGTAGAGGTCCCATAGACTGTCATGGCCTCCTAGCTGGCACCCACATTCAGAGGGCTTGGTTTGGTCCAATGCTGTTTCCCCAGCTTTATGACTAGGGTCTCCATGCTCTCACTAGGTCAGGTCAACTGTTTCTGTGGGTTTCTGCAGCACCGTCTTGACTTCTTTGCTCATCCCCTCCTCCCTCTCCACAATTGGATTCCAGGAGTATGGATCAGAGCTTAGCTGTGGGTGCCTGTTTCTGCTTCGAACAGCATCTGGATGAAGGCTCTAGGAATGGTAACCAAGGTAGACATCAATCTCATTATAGGGGAAGGGCATCAATGTCATTTTCTCCACCACTGCTTGGATTCTTAGTTGGGGTCATCCCTTTGGATCCCCTAACATTTCCCCTGTGCCAGATCTCCCGCCAAACCTGTACTGTCTCCCTCTGTCAAGGCTTCTCCTTTCTTATCCTCCTCTATTCCTCCCCTGTCTCAGTCCTCTTGTTCTCCTTCCCCTCCCCTTCTTCCCCTCCCCCTTCTTCCTCTTCACACCAGCCCTGTGCTCCCACTTTGTTCAGGGGATCTTGTCCCCCTCCCCTTCTTCAAGGGCTGGCCTAACTCACAGAGATCGCCTGCCTCTGCCTCCTGAGTGCTGGGATTAAAGGTGTGTGCCACCACCATCCGGCTATCAGGAATATCTTACAGCCATGAAATATTCTTCATATGGAACCAAGAAGATTGGATAGGAACAAGTGTCGACCTTTCTAGTGCTCCTCCATTTGATTCAGTTGCTGTAATATTGACATCACCATAAATATCCAGTTATTTTCTTCTAGGAAGTAAATTTATTGACACCACATTGTTTAAGACACTTAAATTGCCAGAAGCTGATTTTTGTGTGAAAGAACAACCAACGCAAGAGAAAAAAAAATCAAAACAATTGAGTACAAAATGTTCTGGAAAAATGCCACAGTTAGTAAGATAACCCAGCAAATACTTTGAGTCTCCCCAACTCAAGATATTTAGAAGTCAAATCCAAGAAGCAAATTTTAAATTTGTATTTGAATAAAACTTCTTTTTTTTTTCAAAAAACATCGATTAAAGTGTTGGGGTTATAGCTCAGTGGTCTAACATGGTCGGGGCTGAGTTCCAGTCTCTGTACCATAAAACCAAAGAAGCACACAAAGGTTTACTCATGGAAAAGAGCAGAGCACTACATGTTAGAAAGATTGGGTTTGAGATCTCCACCTGCAATTAAAGGAGTGTTAAGCCCAGGAAATACTTCAACTCCTTGGGGTCTTGTTTCTAATGCTTCAATGACAATATTTTCTGACATTAATATACAGATAATATCATTCCAGTTCCCAAATTAATCAATCCTATATAATTAACAAAAAGGCATTAAGTAGCCAGAGTGTGGGAAGCACTGTCAGAAGTGCTGCTGATGGGAGCTTGTAAAATGAGAAAATAGAGTCCTGACTAGTGACTTAGAAAAAGTCAAATGCCAATGCCAATTGGAACTAAGTGAATTCTGTGACCAAATAATAATTAACTACTTAATAAAGTGCCAGGAGGTCATTTTTCTTCTTCTTGAGGAGGATCTGATGATACTGCCAAATAATGGCTTTTAAGAATTAGTAGTTCAAGCTAAGAATTTGTGTTAATGAGAAGCCTTGCACTTTTAAAATATTTTCCAAAAATTATTTGCAGCTCTTATTGAGGAGATGAAAAGAAAATATTAACTTTAATAATACCTAAAAATTTTAATATCTAGTATACATGAATATTCATTTCTTTGAAAAGATATTGACCTAATAACTGGCATAGCTATTAACTCATTAAAGTAATGCTTAGCACTAACATCAAAGTGTAGTCTTCTTTTACCATTCAATATTTCATCAAGGATCCCAGCTCTGCCTTATAGACTTGTAGGGAAAAATGAGGTCTCCACAAGGATCTCAGATTTTCTGCTAGATGAGCTTAGAGTATACCTAGATCTGTTATAAGATAGTAGCTACACTCAAATATGATGGAACCATTGTGTTAAGACTGTAAATTAAAACTGTAACTACTGACATTTTGTCAGTCAATCTATATTCATCTATATTTAAGAATGTGATGAACGCTATATTTTTGGAAATCTATAAAATACATACCATATTTGTCTCTCTGGGTCTGGGATACCTCACTCAAGATTATTTTTTTCTAGATCTACCCATTTACTTGAAAATTTCATGAAAATGAAGGCACAGAGTTGGGGAGGTGGGGAGGATATGGGAGATGAGGGAGGGAAAACAGTGATCAGATGAACTATGTAGAAAATTATTTTCAATAAAAATTCTTATCTGAATGACACCTAGCTGCAATAACTATTTGTCTGCATACCCACAGTTAAGTGTAACTCACTCTCATCAAAGAAGCTCTTCTCTGCAGCAGCTGCAGATCATCACTGGAAGCACAACTGGACAAAACACAGAGAACACCTCATTATGGGGTGCCCAGCCCAGGGGAGGCAACTATGACATAACTCCCGTGCTTAGGATCAGAGAACACAGAAGAAATATGAGACAGAAAGATTGGAAGACCCATAGGATCAGGAAGTCTACTATAAGATTATGTCTCCTAAAAATGATAGGGGAGCTACATCCATGGTACCACATCAATATGACTACCTAAAAAAAGACCCAAATGATGACTATACCAATAGTTATGCTAATGTAGGGGAAAAAAATTTCACAGGGTTCCACCTCTAGAAGAAGAACTATAGGCAACTAAGAACTGTGAAGAGAAGGAGAATTAGTCTTCCCTGGGGATAAGCCGCTATTTTGATATCCATACCTACTGGCCAGCCCTGAAATCATATATATACAATGGATTCACTGGGGCTGGGCACTCCACAATCAATTGTTCTCTGTATTTTTACTAGTTGTGGTTTCTGTGATGGTCTTCATCTCTTGCAAAGAGAAGTGTCTTTGATAGGGGCCTAGAGCTACATTCATCAGGCAAAGTAGTCTCACAAATTCCCAATATAATTCCTGTGGGGTTAATATTGACTGTCAACAAAGAAGGTCTAGAAGAGAAATTTCTGGGGATATCTGCCAGGAATTGTTCAGACTAGGTTTGCCTCTTACATGCCTGTGAGAATTTTCTTGATTAGGTTCATTGAAATGACCCATCCTAAGTGTGATAAGCACCTCACACTCCAGCAGCCTTGAGAGCCTAGAAATGAAGAAGGCTGAGTGGAAAGCTTTTGCTTTTGCCTATTTGTCATCATCTCTGCTGATAACATCAACACTGCTGCTGTCCATTGCTGACAGGACAATCAGACTCTCATGGGCACATCTCCAACTATATTTTGTGGAAGGAGTTCTTTCATTTATTGCTTTTTTCTTATAATTTGAACAGATGCTCACAAAATAATTGCTGATTCGTTTTTATAATTGAAAAAATGAGAAAATGTATGGATTACTTGAGGCATTCCTCTAAACAATAGGAGGAAATACATGAAAGTTATCTCAGGTTTTCAGATCAAACACTGCCTTAGAACCCCATGCCAGAGCTTTGGTACCAGAATATTTATAGATTTTTTTATGTGATTATTAGTCTGTCATTCAGGTTTGAGAAGCAGAGAACTAGGAAGACCATAAAGATGGTCTATGTACGGAAAAGCTAGAACGATCTCAGTGATTGACAGTTACAAGAAAAGCAGATGAATTTCTTTCACACTAATCCACTGACATTTGCATGGTGAGTCAACCGTGGATATAGAATCTATTATTTTTCTGTCAAGTTACAGAGCATTAGATATTCATTTTAAGATATTTAAACTAAAACTGCTTAATGGAATAAACATTTAGCCTTGTCATTCGCAAATAGTGTGGATATATTTACCTTTACATAAGCACTTTGGAAACCTAGATGTCAAGGGATAGTTTTATTGCTATTGCTAGTTGACAGGTAAAATTCTTGACTGCATTCACCATATTTATGCTTGAGTGTGTGTATTTAGATGGCAGTGATAAGATAGATAGATGACAGATAAATAGATAATAGAGAGAGATGATAGATAGGTAGATAGAAAGATAGATGTGTTTAGTTTTGAATTTTTCTGCACTATGTATCAGATGGTTAAATATCATGACTTGGATATCCTTTTAGTGTGTTGGAGGAGGTGGCATTTTGAGCAGGTCTGCTGAAATGTAAAGGGAACTAAAGAAATTATCAGTTCTCATTTTATGATAGAATACTAGAGACTTGATAGATGCCTATGAAGCTAAGGAAATTGGGTCAAAGTGTGAATGGGTAAGAGTTATTACTTGACCTGGGATTTATATAATGAACATAAACAGAGTCAGACTCAAGGCCTAGAGTATATATCCCACACAAGACAGTGTTGCAGAAATAGTTTGGCACTGGGTAAAACTGGGTCAGAACCTTCACTTTTACACTCAGATGTGAACTGCTGGACACATGAGCTAGAAAACATTTCTTGAACTCAGTTTCTCTTTTTTAAAAATAGGGCTTTCATTGCTGAGTTTACATTGGCGCTTGCTATCTAGCAGAGTAGCTGGTATAACGGTGAGCATTTAACAGGTTCTCCTTTTAATGAAAGATAAATATTTATTCCCATGTTAGTTTCTCTTAGATATTTGTTTTAGAAACTCATTTGCTAGAACTCTTCTGTTTTATTCCTCAGCGAGCGTGACATGAGACAGCACGGCCACACACGGAGCTCTGTAAAGGTTCATATGCTTGATGAATTAATGAAGCAGCAGCACTGTGACCATCAAAATGTAGCTGTGATCTAGTCCATAGGGGTACACTGTGATGCTTATGAACAGCAATTACTCCCACCTGCAGAAGAATTACAAGGTTTTAGTTAATGCTAACATCTAGTGATTAGCAAGACTATAAATAACAGCCTTCCCTCAAGATTTGAAATGCGTCTTTTCTCTGGCCCATTTGCAGGCTCTGGGGGACTATTCCAGGGAGCATTTGAGATCACAGAGAGAGGGAGACAGGAAGCTTGATGTTGATGTACAACTCAGAAACTATCACAGCCAACACCTCACTTCGCTTTTTCCTGGGGAGGAATTAGGTCTTCTTGGGTCTCTTCTAAAGAAACCTTTTACCAGATCAGTTTCTCAGACTGCACATGTCTCACTAGTCCCGTGGAGAGATGTGGGGCTTTCCCTGTGGGGACTGCATCTTTGATATCCAGATAATTTTCACTGGAGACCTTTGATGACGCATCTTCTCTTGACACACTGCCTACTGAACACCATGCTTTGTCTCTTCACATTTCTGAATACTCTTTACTAAAACGTGAAGGACATTAAAGTTATTACGCAGACTGCTCCAGCATCATTAATGACTGCTGATTATCTACCCCTGTGTATCTCTAGGTGTGATACCATTGCATCTGATGGCCACTGGGAACACTGCATATCCTTGGACTCCTGGTCCTTCTTACTTACCTGTTTTCCACTCATTCTGTTATTAGCCCTTCCAGTGATTGGGTGCCTTCCCTGTAAAACAGCATTTGTACAAGATTGCAGACTATTTTGCTCAGTTACCTGCTGAGACAGTCTGTCTGACCATGGGCAGCAACTCCGGAAGAGAGGGACTGTGGGATGGAACAGAAGCTACATGCTGCAGTCAGTTCCAACTCTATAAAGGGTCACAGTCATCCTTTTCCACAGGCAATCTGAACTGCCTGCATGGAGGAGAGTATGTGCCCTTCCCTGTGATCACCAATAAACATGGTTCCCTCTGTCAAAGGTTGGGCAACTCTCCTTTTCTACATCCTGTCTCTTTAAGCTGCCTCCGAAATCTAACAGACAACATTTTTCAATGTCCTGAAATAAGGATATGGACTTATTTTACTCTGACTCTAGGCCAACAGAACGTTTTCATACTGAGCCCTAATCTGAACACTAATATCTGGGCAAATACCTTGTTTCAGCACTATTCCCATATTTTCTCAATTTGGACCAAATTGATTAACAAGGTTAGGCCCAGAACTAGGGTTATGAGTTGGGTCACCCAACATCCACCCCATGTATGATCTGCTGGAGCCAGTCCTGGTGGTGAAGGGGCCAGTCCTGCAGATCCAGAGTTGCAGAATCTCTAGACACAGGGCAACAACATGATATCCATGAGGAGCTGGTGTGGAGTAACCCTTCTGTACACTGTGAAAATATATTGTTCTCATTATTGCTCATAGTGAGGCAGGATTTTGGCTCAGAGAGAATGCTGGGAAGAAGGGTGGATAATAGCTGTAAAGTAAAGGATAACTATTCTATAATTTACAGACCTGGAGAAGCTAAGTAACAAGGAGGGCTCAAGGAGGTACACTTTGATCTCCCTAGGAAGGGGGAATTAAATAGATTTTGTGGGTGGACTCAGGGCTGGTGGGAATGAGAACAGGATGGATCAGATAGGGAGAAATGGCGGGAGAGAGTACTGGAAGAGACAACTGGAAAAGCATGGGTGGGGGGCATTTCCATGTGAGGTAGAAACCTAGTGCAATCGAAACTCCCAGGAATCTTTGAGGGTGACCCTAGGTAGGCCTCATAGCAATAGGGGGGATAAGTAGCCTGAACTGGCCATCTCCTGTAACCAGACAAGGCTTTCAGTAGGGAGACTTGGATCCCAACCCAGCCACATAACCTTCAACCTACAATTTGCCCTGCCCATGGATGTGCTTGTATAAAGGTGGCACAGAAAGTGTGTTAGTGACCAACCAATTACTGGTCCAGCCTAAGACCCTTGCCACCCCTGACAGGGATTCTACCCCTGACACTGCCTGGAATGTTAGGACCCAGAGGTGGGATGATCCAGACACCTAAGATAGAAGCAAACATCACTGGGAAAAATGTCAATGTAATGATGCCTAATGATACACTGCTATGCTCATAGATTAGTGCCTAGCCTGATTGTCATCAGAGAGGGTTCATTCAGTAACTGATGGAAACAGGTGTAGAGACCCACAGCCAAACATAAGATGGGCCTTGGGGAATCCTGTGGAAGAGGGAAAGGAAGGATTATAGGAGCCAGAGGGCCAATGACACCACAAGAAACACAGAATCAACTAATCTGGACTCATAGGGATTTACAGAGACTGAACCAAAAACCAGGAAGCCTGCATTGAACTGACCTAGACCCTCTGCATATATGTTACAGTTGTCTAGCTTGGTTTATTGTGGGACTCTTAACAGTAGGAGAAGGGACTATCTCTGGCTCTTTTGCTAGCTTTTGGGATCCTATTCCTCATACTGGGATGCCTTGCCCAGCCTTAATACACTGGGGGAGGTGGTTATTCCTAGTCTTATTGAAATTTGATATACCATTCTTTGTTGATATCCACGGGAAGTCTGTCCCTTTCTTAACAGTAAGGACTGGAGGGAAGAAAGGAGGTCGGGGGAGGAATTAGGAAGAGAGGAAGAGAAGAGAAAGGGAAGCTATGGTCAGGATGTAAAATAATACTAATACCAATAATAATAATAATAATAATAATAATAATAATAATAATAATTCATTACAAACAAATAAAATTTGCCTTAATCAAGTGCTTGCTTTAATTAATTTGGCCATGATGGTTTGGGTTGGTGGTCTCTTTCCTCACAACTTTGGGATTAAGAGCTAGGTTCTGTGAGATATTTAGAAAACTCAGGTGTGAGGGAACTTGACCATGGAATGCTGTAGGAATCTATGGAGCACATGAAAGAACTGTTCCCTAGGTGCTGGACCCACTCCAACAGACTGTCATTGTGGAAACTGTAGAGATGCATCCTGATAAGTGGATGCCACACAATAAAATTCAACAAAGTGAGGACATCTAAATTACTTCTTCATGAAATTTTCTTTATTTGCCCAGATGTATTGCTATGGTCAGGATCTTCTATGGTTTTAATAATACTTCTATTTAATATATTTTTGGTGGGGTTAGTCATTTTACTATCATAAAAAAGGTCCTTCCTTTCAACCAAGGGACTATTTTTACCATTAACAATGAGAGAAAAGAATGGAGCTGATGAAAAACAGAAAACCCACTAAGGGGTGGGGTCACAGTTAATAAGAGATATTGCAGATCTCTTACAGGAGATTGTATTTCTATCTTCTCTTCCCTCCCAGGATTTAAATATCAGACTATATTAAAAACATTTCCAGAAATGAACAAGGTTGCTACCACTCATTCTAATTTCCTTCACTAAAAGTCTTTAGACACAATTTGTGACTCCATTATCACCACACAAACATTTTGAAGACCCCTGGAGGAATGGTGGGATAGTCTGCTAACAATGTCCATTTCGAGTCACAAAAACAACTTATGTAAGATACCGGTAAATGTTAGGCATCACTTTTATGACATACATTTTATTTAAAATTTTAGAGTCATTTTGTTTAAGACACAAATAAATGCCCTGGAAATACAATATTTTGACCTCATGAAAATTAAGACAAGAAAATTATCTTCTGGATGAGTCATGTCTCTAAACAACTATATTATTCTAATATTTTGTAGAATCTTAAAAATTATTTTATTATGAAATGGTATGTTTAGTCTTATTTCTTATATCCTAATTTTTGTGTTGCATAACTTAGGAGTTATTTTTATACAAGAATCTGTTGTACAAACTGACAATAGAAATTGGTAGTAAGTTTTTTACCATAGTGACATGAATTATTTCAATAAATTCAGTGGAAAGAAATGGATCTGATGTGAAGATTTTTCTACCCCTACGTAATAGTCATTTTAACCTCTGATTCTCTGTTTCCTTTAACTTCTTCAGGAAGTTGGGAAAGTTACTAGTTTCTCCATATTTCAGTTTCCTTATCTGAAAATGAGGAGGTTTTATAGATGAAGTAATTCAAAGTGTATGCAAAAATACATAGCTGCTACTTCATAAATACCAGCAATTGAGTTCACTGAAGACACCAAACTTTTACAAAAGGTCTTCTGTCATTCAAAGGGATTTTTTCTACACTTTTAAGACTTAAAAATAATTTAATGAAGATGATTTTAAGTTTATAATCAGTGTTAAATATTTTTCTTGCTAAATAGTTGATTTATCTAATGGAAACTATATTTCACATTGTTTTTAGATTAATGATCATCTTTTATTTACCATTTATTTGTTGTTAAAGGCTTTAAAATTTTTCATTTGAAAATTTCTATGCAATATGTTGATAATATTTGTTCCCTTCCTGTAACTTCTCCAGAATTCTCCCTATCTCTCTACCAACCCAAATTCATGTTCTCAGTCTCCTTCTCTCTTTCTTTATCAAAAGCAAAATAAATCTCCCAAACCCAGTAAAAAATCAAAACCAACTAATAAAAAGAAAGCCAGTAAGACAAAAAATAGTGAAACAAAACAAACAGCACACAGAAAACTAATTTTTGTTCAATGCAGTCAACACTAAAATCATGTATAAGAAGTCTTATATGGACTGAGTAGGTTATATTTAAGAATATAAGCAGGCAGTGGTGATCATGCCTTTAATACCAGCACTGGGGACACAGAGGCAGGAGTTTGAGTTCAGCCTGGGCTACAGTGAGAATCCCAGGATAGCCAGGGCTACACAGAGAAAGCCTATCTCAAAAAACAGTATAGATAGACAGACGGATGGATGGATAGATAGATAGATAGATAGATTGGCATGCAACAACAATCAGTGAAAAAAAAAAGACCATGAATTTGAAGAAGAGAAGGGAGAGGAATAGGGAGGGCTTGCAGGGATCAAAAGGAAGGGAGAAATATTCTAATTAAATTATAATTTTAAAAATGGAAAGATAAGTAAATAAACAAAATCATGGAATCCATTTTGCGTTGGCCAACTACTCCTGGGTA